ATATATATACATATATATATATATATATGTATATATATATGTATGTATCATTATTTACTATCTGTAGGAGATCTTAAGTAGAAATGGTCCTCTGTCCATCACAGGTTACTTTCACAGAACAAATGAGCCGCTGTTCAGTGATGCCAGGATGTTCACAAACCACAGCCTGACATATACAAAACAGCTGTGAAACTTAAATACTATGATACACAGGTATAGTAAGTCTTGGTTATTGATATTTAACGCTGTTTAGTATATAAAAGAACAAATATAAGATCTTTACTACTTTATCCACATATCCACGCATGACTATTTAAACATTCAACAGATTTAGCTTCACACTCGCCTTTCTCTTACTTAATGTAGCGGAAGGATTATTCATTTTCATGTAGGTTAATGTTCCTGTGACTCTACTGCTGCCAAACTGGGTTAAAGGATGAAATACTCACACTGATCTGAGTGCATGAGCGTTCGGTTATACACTAAAGTTTTACTTTCATGAAATACTAAAAATGATTTTGAGATACAGCTATTGGTTATGTCAGCGTTTAACAAATTAAATGGGACTAAACATTTCCATTAGATTTACTACTAGAGTCACTAACGCCTTTTGATCAACTAGCAGGTAAGAAACAAGTCGATATATTCCACATGTGATGAATGCCTATAAAACTTACTTTTCCAAATTTGACAGCTTGAAGGTACAGCATTCCCTCTTTGAAGATGACCTCCATGCTTGTGAGCGCTGACTGTGAAAACCTGTAGTCTCTTACACCAGTCGCTGCTCTGTGGCCAAGATGAAACCGCCAACGAAGTTAAAATTAGGTACCTTTGGCCACAAGAATAAATGTTTCCTTTACGTCACTAACAGCCTTTATTTTCTTGCATACTTTGGTGTGTGATAAAGTATCTCTCTGATCTGCATTTTAGCTGTTGCAAAAGAAAGGACATGAGTTGTGTGCTGCTGTTGTCTTGTGTCAACTTCCCTTTGCATTTGTCTATATCTTGTAGCAACTTCCTCACCATACCACACTTAAGCCACACCTGTCACTTTTTCCAGAAGACACAGACAAAAGAAATGTACACAAAAGAAAAACAAGAACAAATATAGTGGTTTTATTTACAGAGCTGCAGAAATCTATGCTACAAAGTGAGAAAACTGACGGAAAGGCGAAGCAATCAGTCATCTCATCTACAATGTTGGGAGGGTTATAATATCCACTTCCTTTCTTCGGTGATGTGACACATTGCTGTACAGTTTCCTAAGAAATGCTTTCAAGTTTTGTTCAGCACTGGAGAATCTTGCCCCTAATGAAAGACTCTTAGAAGTCCATTGAGCTATGAGCCAGGTAGTCTTTCCTTCCAATGTTGGTGACCTGCTTGGTCTGCATGGCCTCCAGCTTGGGACAGTCTGTAATACGATGACCAAGACCACCGCAGAATGTACATCCTCTCTCGCCTGAAGAAAGAAAGAAGAATCTGATGTAAGGAAAGGATTGTAAAGAATGCAACTGGCTTCAGTCATATCACACGAGGCAGTCAATATTCAAAAAGAAACCAAAAAACATGATTAAGGAGTCGCTATTGAGGTGGGACAACTCGCCTCCGATGTCCAGCATGGTCTCGTCTCCGGTCTGGAGTACCTGGAGGACTGGAGGAACTTTCTGCTTGGCTTCAACAAGCAGAGCTTTCAGATCCATCAGAACGGATTCATCTATAAACAAACACAGACTGGTTAAATTTAACTGTAATTTATTACAATAAGTTATTTCATATTAAAAAGCCAGCACCACTTCAGCTATGCCATGCCTGTATGAGTAAATTACCATGTTTAAAACCATACAGTGGTGTTTCAAAGACATCCAGTATCTGTAATTACTGGACAAACCTTAACGACGTTACTTTTTTACTTTGGTCAGCGACATAAATAGAGCATGGCTTACACTGGCTAGCATTCTCAGAGAGGTTACTCTCCCTCCTTAGTAATCAATCTAATTTTATCTTTAGGTTGTGTCCTTACCGCAGCCTTTATTGATGAAAGTTGTGGCAATTCCAGTTTTGCCCGATCGTCCAGTTCTTCCTATTCTATGGACTGAAACGGGAAAATTTTGTCAAATCAGCCTGAGAAATTTTAGAAGAACTAACAAATACGTGATGAAGGTAAAGCCATATGCATATTATTCTCTTACCATAGTTTTCTATCTCTTCTGGCATGTCATAGTTCACTACATGCTGAATAGCTGGGAAATCCAGACCCTTGGAGGCAACATCAGTGGCCACTAACACATCTTTTTTTCCTTCTTTGAATGCTTCAATGGCTTTTGTTCTTTCCTCTTGATCTGGAAAAATACAGAAATTTATATCAATAAAAACAACATTTTCTAAGAAGCAGAAACAATTCTGCATCACCGGAACCCATGAAGCAGAAACCATGAAGGTGACATTTGCAAGAAAGATGGCATCTAGTGGTGATGATGAGCAACTACAAAACAACAAAGATATGGCTGGGAAAAAAATAAACAAATTTACCAGCCACTTGATTAGGTACACCTGGCAGAATTTCAATGCAGTCAGGCATGCAGACATGGCCAAAATTACTTGCTGAATTTCAAACTGAGCATTATGTAAATGACTTTCCGCATGAGATACTTACTGGTACCGAAAGTGCTGACTTACTGGGATTTTCTCACACAACCATCTTTAGGGTTTACAGAGAATGCTGCCATCCTGCCTTATATCAACAATTCAGGCTAATGGTGGTTGCACATAGAGACACAATTTGGGCCCCTTAGTGCCAACTGAACACTATTTAAACACCACAGCCTACCTAAATATTCCTGCTGACCAAGTCTTTCCCTTTAAGACCACAATATATCCACCTTCTACTTGCTGCTTCAAGCAGGATAAACCTCCAGGTTGCAAAGCTCAGATTATCTCAAGCTGGTTTCTTGAACATAACAGTGAGTTCACTGAACTCAAATGGCCCCCACAGTCACCAGATCGCAATCCAACAGAGCACCTTTGAGGTGTGGTAGTACAGGGGAGTCACATCATGGATGTGCAGCCGACATATCAGCAGTAATTGTGTGATGCTATTGCAATCACGTCAATATGGACCAGAGTCTTTGAGGGATGTTTCCAGTAGCTTGTTGAAGTTGCCATAAAGAATTAAGGCAGCTCTGAAGGAAAAAGGTTCCAAGGTTTCATGGTACTAGCAAGGTGCACATAATGAACTGGCACTCTGACAATGATTTAAATGAAATATTTAGACTCTGCATACCTTTTCCACCATGTATGGCCACTGCCTCTACTCCTTTAAGCAGCAGATACTCATGGATGGCATCTACATCCGCCTTTTTCTCAGCAAATATCAGCACCTGTCAGAATGAAAAAGGACTTGTGACGTGTTGCTTTAATTCTTTATAAGAACTCTTTATAAAAGTGTCAAACACGTGAAAGTACGAACTGGAGGAGACGTTTTCTGGAGACACTCTAAGAGGTACACCATCTTAGCCTCTTCTTTGACGTACTCCACTTCCTGCACACACATAAAAATATTTATTTCATTAATATTTTTACATATGTATTTGGAAGGCAAACCATATCTGTGACTGAGACAAACGACTATTTTAGTGAAAGATAAAGTCACCTGGATGACATCCAAGCTGGCAGCTCCTGCTCTGCCCACGTTAATAGTAATGGGTTTGACCAGTGCACTCTTGGCAAAGTTCTGGATTTTCTTGGGCATAGTGGCACTGAAAAGCAGGGTTTGTCTTTGACCCTAGATTAGGAAACAAACAGAAAGCAAATGTTTTCATGAAAAAATTGGCATGAAAATAAAAAATCCAGCATCAACTGGAAGAAATATTTCTTTGCAACTGCTAGTAGAGCTTATATTATGAAGAAATGTATTACCTCTGAAAGTACTATGACTACCTGGAAACTGATGTCTCAAAAGCAGTTAAAGTCAGACTGAATAGAGAACTTTAGTGAGTGCAGTAACAACAAAAAGCCTATTGTACTCTGCCAAGGTGTGGATTTGTGAAACAAGAAAAAAGGAATTTATTGTTATGTTTGAGAGAAGCAGAGGAATCTCAGTTCTCTAGTGTAATAAACATTATGCTGTCTGGCCTTGGTAGGCTGGCTTTGTAAAGCTACTTATCTGGTGAAGGATAGAGCAAGCACAACACAGAAAAATGGATGAGGAAAAACTACTGCAATAGTGCTGTAACATTTAAAAGCTAGAGCCATGAAGGACTGCCTCACCTTGAAGTAAGAGAAGATGGTTCGGATGTCTTCTTCAAAACCCATATCTATCATCCTGTCAGCTTCATCCAAAGCCAAGTAGCGACAGATGTCCAGACCCACCATCTTCTTCTGCAGCAAGTCCATCAATCTTCCAGGTGTAGCAACCATCATATGGACGCCGCTTTAACCAAGACAGAGTTGGAGAGAAAATTAGTCCACAACATCACATGACATTTTGGCTTTTTAAAGTGTAGTAGTGTAGTACTATCAGTGTTTAGGTAGTAATGCTTTTGAGCTTTATGAATGCTGTATGTTAAAGCACTGATTCAGGAACACGTCACTTTTTTTGTTCCTCGCTGAACGTTAGGGCTGAATCGTGCAATTTTTTGCTTGACACTGAAATGGGAATTCTGGTTGAAATCCAGATTTTTTTCACAACACCTTCAGCTGTACTTACTGTTTTACTACCTCCATCTGCTCCTTGACAGACATTCCTCCGATGCAGAGGGCTGTGCGCAGCTGAGGAGCTCCCTCCTCCTCCAGCAGCTTGCAGTAATACTCTATGATGCCATGTGTCTGCCTCGCCAGCTCTCGCTGCAATAACACACCGGGTTATAAAACACACACACAGGATTCAGGAGTCAGAGGGATGAGAAAAACAGAGGTTCTCAAAGCTAATGTCATCTTTTCCAAAGGGCACGAAAAATTCACAGTGCATGAATATTTGAAAAGGCTTTGTTTCCTCTATTTAGATCATAGTATGCTACAACTGCCCAAAATTAACAGTATTGGTAATTACCGATATTATTTTTTTATGTTACATTTTATGTTACAGTGGAACCCCGACTTACGAATACCCCATTTAACGAAAAATTCAAGTTACAAAGGCACTTAACGGCAATATTTCTGCCTGTGTTACGGCAAAATGCCTGTGTAACAAAATCCGCTGGCTCTGATTGGCTGAGCCCAGAATACCCACAATGCCTTCCGAATCATGTGACAACCCCCTTGGCTTTCGTACTTGCGCTTCGCTGTTCCACTTGAACGATGTATTGTTGTTGCAGTTAGCAATTAGCCTATAGCCCATCGTTCACTCAAAAGGTGCGATGGGTGCTTCGACTTACGAAAGACCTTCGGGAACGAATTAATTTCGCAAGTCGGGGTTCCACTGTATCATTTATTAATTTGGCAGTATGCACAAGTTCATTAATCAAAATGATATTTATACAGCTAATATATAATTATTGTTAATGATCAATTTCCAAATTTTAAGTTTTACAAAAAAGCAGAAACATTAGTAAACTACTTGTTTTGTTTTTTAAATTGAGATGCCAATTGTGGTGTTTTCTTACATTCCTGCACAGAAAAAATAATTTTGTGGTTCAATGTTTTTCTTTGTCCAGTTTCTCAAATTTTTCAAGGATGTATTTTACATCATGCCGAGATATGTCAGGTTTTTCGCTAATAGCTCTTTCGGAATCACCTCATTGGTGCAAAAATAGAATTTTTATGAATGTCAAACTGTCATCTTTGGGAGTTATTTGCAGGCACTGTTTTATTTGTATTGAATTACACCTGCCTATGACAGTAAGCACTATCCTCAGCTATAGTTTAGCTAAGGTTTCTTTTTAGTAGCAAGGCCTCTGGAAAGAGACTTTGCTGCTGAAATATACACTTTGAGTACCGTATTTGATTTTGAGGAGATAGCACTCCTAGAGTACAAACATGAAAGTGGCCCCACATGAGGCCATTTTCTCTGAGATTTCACCCTGAAGCCCAGAACAGCACAATGAAGGTGAACATTTTTTTAATGTCCATTAATCAACATCTTGAACTCTATTTTTAAAAATATATATTATTAGTAGGTAATTTTAGTAAAAGTAATAGTTTTGGTCTAAAAACCATGAATGTGCATCAGCGGTACATTTTAAGAAACGAAGGAATACATTTATCAGATATTTAAATTTACGTGAAATGACCGATATAAATGTGCTGATTATGTTTTTCTTACTGAAGGACAGATGATAAGCCCATATGGTCCCTCTCTCTTAAAGAAAGGCAGTCTTTTCTCCTGCTCCAGTGCGAACATGATGATCGGCAGAGTGAAGACCAAAGTCTTTCCTGATCCAGTGAAGGCGATTCCAATCATGTCTCTACCTGAAAGACTACAGACAAACAGGGTTCCTTTAAATGTACTTAAAAAATAGAATTTACATTACAGCCTTTGTATTCTATTTATACATACACTGTTGGGATTCCTTGTATTTGAATTGGTGTTGGGTGGATGATTCCCTTCTTTTTCAAACCTTTCAGAATTGCTGCAGGAAAAACAAACACAGATTTGTTGTCAGTTGATGATCACTGTGAATCATGAGTCAGTGTTTTTGTGTTGGGCAGAGTCCGCTGTCACCTGGTGGAAGCTTCATCTCTCTGAAGCTTTTGATAGGAGCTGGAATGCCGTCGCCATCAACCAGGATGTGAAATTTCTTCCTGACGCGCTCATGTCTGGTGTCTGGCATATTCAGGATGTAGCGTGGTGCTTTCCAGCTATACAATATATTTGGGACGAAAGAATATTAAAAAAAGAAACTACAAAGAGAAACTGACTACATGGAATTCTGTGATAAGGAGCTTACCTTGTTTTTATAGGATCATCATATATGATACCTTTGGCCATTTCCTTCACAGACATCAGAGCTGACAGAAGAAGAGAGATGAAAGTTGCCAAAAGAACTTGTGCAAATTCAGATAGTTTACCACACTTTTCTCATGCCTACCAACATCTAATTCAAGAAGGCTAAACAGAAACCATTAGTTTACCTCTGCCCTCTGCAACACTCTCCAGGATCTTCTCCTCCTCTTTCAGCTGCTTCTCTTTGGCTGACTCCTTCCGAGCTGTAGGTATAAAAATAAAAACAAGTTAAGGTCATAAAAAACTTAAAAACTGAATAGTTAAACACAGAAGTATCAGACCACAGAATGGGTCTACTTTGAACTAGATACCTTCTGCCTTTTCCTTGAGGTGTTGATGCTGGTCGAGGAGACTAATATGGGAGCGTGGACCAAGAGCCTCATCTTCATCCCTCTGTTCCTCCCCACTATCCTTCTGTTCTTCATCCACCGCTTTCCCTCGCAAGCGCAACATCTTTTGTAGCTATAAGTCAGAAAAGTTATAAATGTATTTAATTTTGATACATGTCACATTTTTAGAAGTTTCATTTATTAGAAAAAAAAACTGCAGTCAATGTGGATCAACCAGATCTAGTCAATTTCTCCAATCTACTCAATAAGGTCAATGTTTTCCCACTATGAAAACAAGAGTTGGCAGTTACTACCTGCATAAAACTCAATCAGAACAATGTTCAGTAACTCACCATTTGCTGTTTTCTGATTTTGACTGGAACATATGGAACGTAGTCGTCATCCTCCGATCCTTCTGAGCCAGTCCTTTCATCCTCGTCATGGGATCTCTGTGAAAATATATATACATATGCTAATTTACATGTTATCAGCTACACAGCTGCCTTAGTGTGTCTCTGTTATTCTCTAAGAGATATTGGCTCTCCACAGATACAACCAGGACCTTTGAATAAAACTTCTGCCACACAGAACATTATGGAGCACAAACCTGATGATATAAAAGCAGTCTGATGATGGTAGACTATTGATAGCATCCAAATAACAACCACGCTCTTATTTCATAAAATTATATTTACTGAACATCAACAGACACTCAAATCATATGCTTGCGACTAGTATGTCAGCGGTGTTGGGTACAAGGCATTATTGTAAGCATATTGTATCACACTACTATACTAACCTACTAACAACTTTTTAAACAACAACAACACATTAATGTGCTTGTGTTTGCGTGTCCCTGTAAGCAGATGAGCAGCAGCATTCTGAGCCACTTGTAAACGTGACGGTGAAACCTGGTCGATAAAAACATAAAGTGCATTACTATAATCAAAGCAAGTGGTCACTAATCCACATTACACTCTCGTTAAGCCAAAGATAAAAGTCAGGATGTGGGAACAATTTAACATCTTTTTCTTCCCTACAATAGACCGATTTCACTTCCCTTACGGAGAAGGAAAAAGGTGTAGAAGTCTACAACTTTACAGAAGTGGAAATGTGAACATTATTTTTGTTTTATTTCACAAAAGGACAGGAGCACGATGGTAATCTTGCATCAACTGCATTATACTGCTATCACAACACTTGCAAACATCTGCACAGCTAGCATGAAGCTAGAAGAGAACCCAGAGTGATGTCTTGATGCATGCTAAGTCATCCAGGAATCCCAGAAAGATGATTCAGATGAACAGAATAAACTTTCTGGCAACTCAGAGTTATGTTAAAGTGGAGTGTCAGCTGATCCCAGCTCAGCAGCCAGAACCTGATCGTCAACAGGTAACAAAGGCAGTGATGAGCAGTCATGCTTTGTAGCATCCATTTCTACATGCATCTACAGTAGAAGTCTCTTTCTTATTGTTGAATCATGAAGACTGAACTTAACTGAAGCGAGGCCTACAGTTCAGCCACACCTAGGAAGGTTCTCCACCAAGCTTTCTCCGTTTCACTATAATGCCTCTCACTGCGGCTGGCTCTAGTATCCCTTTTCAGACTGTTGGACGTCAGTGACTTTCTCTACATCATAGCATGATGCATTTCTTGCCCCAAAAGCTTGTTACTAATCATAATTATTAAAGAATGAAATCTAATTTTTAAAATATTTTCAAGTTTCATCCTAATTTTACATCCACAGGGCCACATTTATGCTGTCTCTTACTATAACCGCTTGATATCGCATACGTCAACTTTACGTCTTTATAGTAAATGTTTTAGCACTGCATCATGGCTAATGCTAATAGTAGCGACTTAATAAAAACGATTGTACAGAATTAATATGAACCGTCTGTTATTCAACCACTTTAATTTGCTTCTATTAAGGTTGCCAAGTGAGCTCGACTCCAACAGATAGCAAAACGACTCGAAGATTAGGTTAAAGCTAGCTAATGTTACCGTTAGCTAACCCTGGTTAGCGTAGCATCTTTAAAGTATGGCTGTTTAACTTACCTTTTGAGGTCGGTTTTCGGTCTCCATTTTATTTAAGAATAACCTAACGTCCCTTTAAATGCCTTTGCTTCGAAATTTTTCGGGAAAATACGAAAGCATACAATTTAACAAAAGTATCTAATCCGCATATTTACACAGTACGCAGAGGAGAGGAAGCCTTGATACCGGACGGAGGGCTGGAAGGGTCAAAACTTAGCGAACAATTTCCCAATCACGAAGCGCTTCAAGTAAATGCAGTAAAAGAGAAATGTAAAAAGCAAACACCACACTTTTTGTCAAAACTGTATTGTTTTTAATCTTTCCGAACGAAAGATTTTTCACAGTATCAAAAGTGATTTTTTTTTCTTAAAAAAAAGAAGAAACAAGCCAACATACACTTGGCTATTACTGGTATAGTATAAATCTACATTCGAAACATTAAGATAATCTTCTCTAATTGAATATAACCTGGAAAGCATCAGAGATATTATATTAAAACAAAATCTCAGCACAGATTCAGGAAAAAAACAAAACATCATTCATTTCAATGAAAGCCATCAGCTAAAACATTGATACTGATGTGAAACTCAAGGCCGGTGTCAAAACCAAAGGTCTCCTTTGTGATATTTGCCATTGTAACATAGATCAAGATTGGGGTCTCACTGGGTTAGCTGAGGTGGAGGGTGCCATTGAGGTCACAGTAAAGGGAAAGTGAGTAATATGGTTGGAAAATGCATCCCAGACAGAGCCCATGACTAGGGCTCAAGTGGGCAAAAATTATTCATTCAGTATGTACAACAAACAAGGTTTTTTGTTCCAGTGGCAGAATAAACATTTCACACTGGTGTACTGTTACTGCTGGGATTCAGAAGGGTAAAAAAGTGTTTGAGAAACCGTGTTCAAGGGCGTCCTTTTAAAGATATACACATACAGAATGTATACTGGATATCACTTATAAGAGATAATTGTTCAAGACTAACATCACAGGAGGACTGACACTGAAGCGACAGACACTGAATTTTGGGACAGTGTTTAGATTTTTCTTTCATGCACGTCATGCATGGGGATGTATCTGCAGGGATACTTAACTGGATTTGTTTTTTGGATGCATTCTGTTGGCCAAATAATACATTTAACAGAAATTCATTTTAAAACATTTTAGTGTTGCTGGTGTACCAACTGCCAAACATTCATTTCATAATAAAACAGGTTGGCAGAAAAATCATGCATTGTCACTTTTCGGTAATTGATTTTCTTTAAAATGAACATTAAACATTATTCCAATTCAAAACTATGAGCAACCAGCAGAGGTACTGCGGCTTCTCTGCAAGTAATATAATGTAACTGTCTCCTCTGCTCCAAGAAGAGAAGACTGGTACGAGTGTTTATAAGACACATGGCCTCTAGTGTCTATTTCGACTGGTGGAGTGGATTGGAAAATAGAAATGTAGGACGTAATGGATGAGCACCAAATTCAATCAAGTGGAATTCAGACGTTTAACGACGTTAAAATGTCTCAGATTTGTGATAAAAAACATTTATTTAATGTACGGTTGCTGATTACATACTACATACTTAAGCACATGGATGCAGTTGATTCAACAGACTTGTTTTTTTTTCCACTTTTGCATCTCTTACTTAGTGAACATTGCAAATAGTAGCAGAGGGTAGAGTTGGCTTTGAGTATGATCCCTGGCTTTGTTAGCCACACGTTTCAGTCTTCTGAATGGAGAGTATGATTTTGAACCAGGGTCCCTTGGCTTAGTATGGAAGAGAAGAAAACTGGGAATGAGAGATGGCCTTGGGCCAAATAGGGCTCTACCGAAAGAGTTTGTGGTGGGAAGTTTTTTTTTCTGGCACTCGTTCAAGTTATTGAGCTGCATTGGAAGAAACCTTTTTGAGGCTAAAGTTGGACCAATTCACTGCGACCTTCTGGCGAGTTTGCTTTGCAGAATCCAGGCAAAACCTACAGGGAACAAAAGACAAACAAGAGAGGGGAAAAAGTCATGTAAATATAACAGCTGAGCTCAAATATATAAACCCCCCCCTCCCCCAAAAAACTCCACGTATCTGGACATTTATTGTGATGAGCTTACCGTTTGAAATATTCCACTTCCCGATCGATCTCATCCATTTCTGTTGGATCCACATCTTTAGGGAGAAATACATCATCTACAGTATAAACATAAAGAATTGAACATCAAGATAATTTAAAAAAACAGTAGTGATTAAGCATGCAATTACAGTTACTTTTCCATACCAATTGCACTGTTGGATTTTTCACCCTTGTTCTTGCTCTTCTTATTTTTCCCCTTGGACTGTTGCTGTTGTCCATTCGCTGGAATAGCGGGTTGTGTTTTGCTTTCTGAATCCTGCTCACACCGGCCTCCTCGTGTCTCTGGGTCGCTTTTCCCCCTTTGTGCACTCAAGGGGCCACCGTTTGCTCCATTTGTTGCATATTTGGATGGTCTGCTCTCTTCAGATTTCTTAGGCCCATTTTTCTGGTGGTCTGCGATAAGCTGGGGCTGTTTGTTTCCAGACTTTGAGCCACTAGATGCCGTTTCTTTAGACTCATTGGTTTTCTGTGCCTCGTTACCAGAGCCGGCTTTGGTTGGTTTGTTGGAATTTTGCTCTGACGCAGACTGTTCCTGTCTCTGCTTTTTATTCTTTTTTGACTTTGCACCATTGCTCCCAACAGTTGTGTTCTTAAGATCAGAGGCGTCCTCTTTTGATTTAGCTGTCGCTTGAGCTGGCACCTGTGGTAAATTGTCAGATCCAGTGGAAGTGCATCTTTCTGGTGAGCGAACTCTTATGAGCTTAGAGAGACTAGGGGTACTGTGCAACCGCTGGATGTCCTTTGTAGTTGCACTAACCCCTGATGCAGTGGTGGTGCTGGTGGTGCTATTAGAAGATGAGACAATGTTTGTGTCCTCCCATCCGTTAACCAGGTCCAGGTGGCTTTTAAAGGTTCCCAGCGAAAGAGGAGAGAGGTCAAGGTCTATCTGCTGCAAGTCAGAGGAACCATTCAGATGGGACAGTAAATGGTTTCCCTCCAACGTGGCTGCTTTCTTTGGGAAGTCATTGACATCCAGATTGAGGTCGTACATACTAAACGATGCCCGGATTGAGTCTTTGATGGTGTTTTTAATCTCTTCTAGCCGACTTGTGAGAAAACTATTAACGCGTTCAAGTTCCAGCTGAGGCCAGTCTAGCAACCGACTGGCTTCAGAACCATCAGGGATGGGCTCGTCGACAGGCTCAGATGGATTGGAGTGGGGGTCACTGCCTGCAGCGCCCGTGTTGCCCTGCTGAGCTTTTTCCTACAACAGACATGGTACAGGTAAGAAAGTGAAAACGGTACCCACATAGACACTAGGACTCTGTACTGAACACTTGCATAAAGTTTAAATATATACCCTAAAGGACTTTGTTGATACTGACCAAAATGTATCTAAAGGACTGAGTATTAGAAAATACCCAAGCCTGAAATCAAATATCTGTAATCTGTTATTATATTGTCACTTACTTAATTACTCAGAGGCGGTCTTATCTCACTCAAGTCACAACAACAGAAAAACATATTCTGACAAAACTAACCACACAAAAAGCAGTAGTGTTTATGTCTTCATAGAAGACGCTGAGTAATTCTCAGTTCAGTCTGAAAAAAAGTCAATGGACCTTTGTGCTAATGAGTTCTTGAAAAGATAAGACTCAACGGTTCTAATTAAGGAGGGGAGATTGTAAGCATGGGTTGTACAAGTGCCACTAATGGTAAATAAAGGCATACAAAGTCTGGTTATCAACCACAGTGACCTTTTAACAAGACCTTAACCTCCTAGGACCTGGCGTCCACATATGTGGACATCACATTTTGGGTTATGTAGACCCAAATACTCAATTTTGCTCTACAAGGGCCTGATATCCACTTACGAGAACATTATACTGCCACTGTTCTATCGAAATTTTAAACAAATATCCTCATATGTGGCTCTCATTTTTCTTAGAAACAAAAATCAGGTTAAAAAAATCTGGTAATTCTTTGTTTTTACATTCATCAGGTCCCAAACAGCCCAAATATCAAAGAGAAATTAAAAATGCATGCTGTGGAAGAGTTCGGGCCTTAGGAGGGAAAAGGAAGAATTACAGTAATGTACAATGCTAGAAAAGGCTAAAAACTATATCTAGAGTTTTGCTGGAGTTACTCAATCAACAGTAAGGGCAACAAACAGAGGAAAAGCAGACCATTCTCTGACATTTAGGAGAGGTTAAACAATACAACAAGACAATGAAACATTGTGCATATTTATATAAACCAACGAATGGTTGAAAAAGAAGACAGTTTTTTTGGAAAAAACCAGAGTCCTCAAATGAACCCTGCTGAGATGGTGCATGTTCAATTAATATGTCCCAGAAATAATGAAAGTTTGGTAGCAAGGGACAGTCAAAAAATCTAGCTCATCATTCCCTGCTCCACAAAACAAGTACATTGTGTGGATTTAGTTTAATCAAACTGATTTTGTCTATTGACTGAGAGAAGGATCAGACCACATTTTATGAATATGCAAAGATCCTGGTCATTTCAAAATTTTTAGCTGCAGTGTCTCATCTAAATTTAAAATATTTTCAATAAATCAAACTGTCTTTGATGCTATCTAAGAGGAAATTTTCCATCATTTGCTTCTCCATCAATTTGCACTTACTTCTTTGCAATGTGCTTTTCATCACTTCTTCCTCCCACATATAATTAATGAGGCCCACCTACCCATGAGATTACACAGGATTAGCATGTAACTAATCCAGAGAAAGTGTTTGCAGATTTCTCCTGCTGTTTGCACTGAAATCTCATCTGAAGTCTATTATTGAGCTGCTAGTGTCTAGTTAACCTTTCCTATTCAATAAGAGGAAATGTTATTGACATGGGTCTAATAGATTCCATGTTAAATATTAAAGTTCGCCAAATAATCTCAGCTTTAGACGTAAATAAACATGACTGAACTATAACTGAAAAACAGAAAACAACACACATTCAATAAAATTACCACACCTTTTTCTTTTGTTTGTGTCGAGCCCTTTTGGCAGCCTTGGCACTGTTGACAGGTTTGGGCTCAGAACTGTTTATAAAGTCTAGCAGCTCGTCCACGTCCCGGTTGTCGATGGCACCAGCCACTGTCAGTTCTGAATCTTGGCGCTGCTCCTCTTTACGCCGTGTCAGTCGTGAGCGAAGCTTCTCTCGGATCTCGGCGTAGTTTCGGCTGGTCGGTGCAGCTGGAGGCTGTGAGCAAATAATATTTCACAATACTGAGCTCTTCTCACAGAGTCACATTTGATGAATGAAAAAGCATACCTCTTTGTTAGTAAAACTTTTAAAGTGGTCGATCAAACCGTACCGCATTGTGTCCAAAGAACTCGCAGTAGCAGCAGTCGCAGTACTTCCCGTCTTTCTGATTTGTGGAAGAAGAGGCGCAGGAGCTCCTCTCAGAGCTGCTGTCTTCATCCTCACCCTCCTCCAGCTCAGACGAAGGGTGGCATAGCGTCCCATTAGTCACCTTGTGCCCCTTACATGCTTGATCCCTACAAAAAAAAAAAGATAAACCCTTAGGATATAATTGTTCTCTGAATAAACACAGCTAAATAAGTGACAAAAAAACAAGGCTGATTATTAAAACTCACCTGCATGCCCCAGGTGTTACATGACCTACATTGGAGGTGGCTACTGTTCCCGGATTGTGCCCATTACAGGAGTGGTTACAACCCACGACAGACGTGCCCAGCTTGCTGTGTTGTGCGTTCACAGCGGGAATGTGGGAGTTTTTGCACGGGCTGGGTTTATGGACAGATGTTGGGCTATCTGGGCTCAGAGAATTGATTTTGGCTGCAGGGCCGTGGAGGTTTGGTACCAGAGGGGAGAATGGCGCGTGCGCTGCGACGCCAGTGCCACAAGAGGAGGTCACGTGGCCGTGCTGCCCAGAGTTCGGCTTTGCGGGTAGGAGAGAGGAATGCTGGGAAGACAGGCCGGTGGGACTGTTGGGGGGTACCGATAAGTCTGTATGTTGATGGTGGTCACTGGGGTGGAAGGCTTCACCTGGACAATAACAAACCATGAATATGAATGAGTCACAGGTCACACATACAGAATCATCTCTTTCTAAAGTACATCAGTTAATTTTCAGGTCCACTAATCTTTTGACTGTAAGCTAAAGTATCCTATTAAAGTTCACTTCAAAGATGAGCTCAGACTCTTTGTTGTTTGCTTTCTCTTCTGTTTTTTTTTCTCCATACAGGTGACCCAGGTGTTTTGTTTTTTTTGGGTTTTTTTTCTTTCTTCCCCCCCTTCTCACCGTCTCTTCTCCCCTTTGGTTTTCTCTCTCTCCCTCTCTTTCTTTCATTCTCTCTCCCTGTCCTATCCCCCAGTCATGTCTGTCCCGTTTGTAGCAACTGAAAATAAAATAAATTCATAATTATAATAAAGGTCAATCAAATGGACCAATATGGCAAGGCCATGATGATCCACTTGGTAAAATAAATCCGCTTGGCATCTTTCTTGGCCTTAAGACAACAATTCTGATGGCCAAAGATCGAAACGGGACACAAAAAAAACAAAAAACCCAAAAAAAACCCCAACCCCCCCCCCAGCAAAAAAAAAAAAAAAAAAAAAAGATGAGCTCAGAGCAAAATACAACTACAGGCTTGCAAAGTCTGAAAGAACAGTTACGGTACTGTGTTTTCTACAGTAATATATAATTAGGTGTTTCTATTAAAGGACAAAAATAAAGAAACAATTAAAATAAAAATATCTTGTTAAACCGAAATCATTCGCCTATTATACACTCTTAACTTTAATGCTGCACATTTTGATTTGAAACTTGAGTTTTCTTCTTTGCTGGCTTTAACCCTTTAAGACCTACCATAGAACCAAGTCCGCCAGAGCTTATATTATATTTTTACATGCTGTGGAGCCATTTTTGGGAGCATTTCAAGTTGCTATACATCAATACAACCATTATAGCCCAGATTTTAATAATATGTATTCATTAAGTGCATAGTAATTACATAAATTGCAAAAAAGTGCAATAAACTACAAAAAAATTGAAAATCGTTTTTGATTTTTTAACATATATTTGTAGTTAGAGAAATTTAAGAGGCTTATACCTCAAAACTGTAAATACAAAAAAGTTGCACAAAATAGTTTCCCACCACAGGAAATTTATTTTGAGTGTCTTCATAGTTTTATTTTTGAAATACACCAATTTTTATACACTGCAGGAAAAACGAAAATAAATATTATACTGCAAATTTGCAAAAAAGCAGCATATGCATCAAAATAAACTATTTCCAGCAGTGCAATATGAGTCCTAAGCATCCCAGAAACGACACAGAAAGTCATAAAGTCAAAGATAACTTTTAAAAAGAGCAGTATAGGCCCTGAGGCCCTGATCGCAAAAAAGATTACATTTCCGCGAAAATGACGTCACTTCCGGTTTCGGCCAGGTAATGGCGGAAATGCAAAAGTTCGCGCTGGCGTCTATTCCAACGTAGGAAGTGTTTTGAACAGCTGATTGGACCGGCAAAGCGTGTTTCTGGAATATTATGTTTTTGTTCCTGCAAGCGCTTTTTATGCAGTTTTTGCAAAGCTTTATGTGGAGGGAAACCGTGACCTAGGACAAGCTGATGGCACAATATGTAAGTACAACTCCTCCGGTTTCATATGCAAAAAAAATTTTTGCGCTAGCTTACGTGGTTGCAGTGCTACCGGGATTTAAAAATAGTTACGCATAACAGAGCGTTCCCGCTCCGATCGGCTCTAAAGGGTTAATAAAAGCTCCTGAACTCATTGAAGAATAAAATTACCTGGTGGCGTTGGTCGACGGCACATGGTCTTGAAGTGCTTGGGAGTGGTCTTACAAAGGTCTGCTGAGGTAGAGAGTGCGTTCCCAGCAGAGGATCCACTGGAATTCTGGGCTGATGGGTGACTGTAGGGACATACTTTGTTCCCTGACGTTTTAGCCGATTTCCCTGGCGCTTCATTAAGTCCTCTTTTCTCATGACAGGTTGAAACTCCTGTTATACCTGCAGACATTTAAAAAAGACCGTTACAAATAAAGGGGAACAGTGCTTTTAACTTTCACCATGGGTAAATATGAATTTACCGCCTATGAGCAGTTTGTGTTTTAAAAAAATAACTCTCTTTTCTTTGGAGACATGTTTTGACATTAAAAAGGAAAACAGCTATGTAAAACATTTTCAGTCCCGAAGCATAAATCCCTTTCTGCTAGCTAAAATAACATCAAGACAGCACTAAATTTTAATAATTTATTTAACATGCTTATTTCTGCTGTGCAAAACTGACTGCACCTATTACTGGTAATCACACACACTTGCCAGGAGAAGTTACAAATCCGCGTAACATAATGCCTGCCTAAACATTTTTTGCTATATACAGCGAAATATAATTGGGATGCCAATTAGGATGCGGGTAGTGTATTTCACAGCTAAACACCTCTCCTACAGCTTCATTCTTTCTTAATTAATTTAAGGAAAACATACCAGTCTATTTTAGAAGGAAACAGACGCCTTCACAAAGGGCATGGATCATTTAACTAGTCTTTCACTTACTCCTCTTTAAATGCCATTTGGTGCCATGAACCATCCAAATATTTAACTAGAAATTCAATCACATTTACGCAGCAGGGAAAGGGTTTTGAAGGGAGCAAAGAAAAGTGAGAAATCAGACAAAAACAAAGTCATCTTAGTTGTTTGTCAGGTCTAAGTAATAAATCACAGCCTAATGATCCATTCCCACTGAATGCATCATTCATCATGTGAAATGGGAACTTTAAAAACAGTTAATGAGACTTCCTGTGAATTGTGCATAACTCGCAGCGTTAGAACTTTAAAATTGAGGATTAAGCCAGTTCGGAAGCGAGGCTGACTCTCAAAGTTTGTCAATGTCAATATAACTGAATAAACATTAAAGTCTGTGGCTTGTGTCACGTGCACAAGTCTCTGCACGTGCCTCCTTGGATTTTTATACATGGTTATACATGAGAAACTTGCTGTTCAGCGCTGTTCACTGTTGCATTACTGTGACGTTACACTTCACCAAGCTCTTGCGCAATGGGGAATTGTGGAGTTTCTGTCTGTTATTCTGAAGTCTTGCCCTTACTAAGGAATTAAAAATAAATAAATAAATAAACTGAAATGAATGAAATATTTGTTCCTGCTAATCATCATAAACCCAGTTCACAGTATGAAACTCTTTTATTTATCCTGTTGTTTAAACAATTTAGTTAACACACTTGTACTGTGTTTGAAAATTAGTATCATTAAACAGTTTCTTACAATTAAGTAAGATTTATCCAATCAAAAATCACCATGCACCTTCCTCTCTTGATTTCTTATATTCAGATTTGGGGATTTTTTTGTGTAAAAATATAAATGCAATATTTCCTAACTAAATATTTTGCATTCTTCTCAGGAACAGAAATGTAAAAACTGTATAAAGCCTGATTAATAACTTGTGTTTCATTCTGTTTATACACTTGAGTTAAAATGCTATACAATGCATATTTCTACTTTGAAATAAAACAGGCATGGTGCTTGCAAGTGTGTAAGTGCTAATGAAATGAAGTAAAAATGAGCTATGATGGATGTTTGCTTTCCATTAAAAGCAAAATAAAAAATGTTATGGGAGCCAAGCAGCGTGGTCTACCTGTCATGTTTCGCTGATGCGCGATGATGCATTAACCCATGACGACATGTTCCAGGATTAACACTTGAGTTTTGGACTGTGAGGTCTAATAATAAATGCTTCTTTCTGACTAATCAATATGATTAAACTGAACTCAAGTTTTGCCAGCATAACTCTTTCCCTTTGGATTTGTGACTGATGCTGATATAACATTACTATAATATTACAACCAAATGATGTAAGTAATTCCTTAAAAAGAAAACTATATACTTTGCACATAATAGATGAAATCCCTAAGAATGCGCCATTCCTTTGACATGTGGCCTGAATACCTGCACATGTATCGATGAAGTGTGTCTTCCAACTGCTTTTTTTACAAACGTATTTATAACTTTCTATTCATTTACTTTGCTTTAGCTGTTGTTAATCCCACCATCAGTCTTTCCTACTGCTGAGCCATCGAGCTGTATAACCCTGTTTTCATTCCATACATCTTTCCTCTCTCTTGTTGTTACACAAACTAAATAGTACCCATGATTTCCTTCTCAACATTGTATAAATGATGACCTTCACAGGCAACTGTATTTTAAAAACAATTTCAGTCTTTACATTTTTTAACATTAAAACATTACTGCACGTCCTATAATGCTGACTTTTAATGAGTGTAATCTTTTACATCGTGCATTTAAGTTCTTCTATGATCATTTCGATTAACAGCTGAACAAAGTGACCTAAAATGAACCTCACACACAGTACTGCTAAAACAGCCAAGGAACTAAATCTAACCAAAATTCTGTCCATTTGCCAAAACTGAAGCTTGCAACACAGCCTGAAATTCAGCATGGTGATGTTTTCAGCGTTTATTGCTTTTCTTTTACTCTGTGACGACAGACCTTGTTGTGAGTGTGAAGAAGTGCTGTGGTTGCAGTGTTCCCCTCCGTTGGTGTGGGCAGAGTTCCAGAGACCCGACAGTTTGTGAGCCGACAGGAAAGAACTCGGGTCCCAGTCCACAGTACTTTGCTCTGGGTAACCGTTCCCACAGCTCTGGGACTTACAGGAGGGAGAGTGTGACAACGGTACCTAAATAAATAAACAAAAAAAAAGAAAACACCCCAGTATAAATCATGTGGCTGCAAACAGTGTCTTGCAGTTTGGTAGCAGCTGCAACTAACTTGCAAATAAGCAATGAAAATCATTTTACTTGCGTGTTTTGCTTTAATACTTAAGAAAAAAAAAACACATATTAAAGAATGCTTTAAGTCACCATAAGTCACTTTTTTGCAACTCTGCCTGCTGTTCTCATTTTGAAACTTTTAACATTTAACCCACATGTCAGCAAAACGTCATGACCACGACACTCATCAGCAGTCCAGCTGAAGTATTGTGATATATTAAGTTTAAAAAAATGCTTTCCATGTAAATTATTTACAAAAATAACTAACAAAGAAAGCTTATTGGCTGCTTCTGTCTTACATATGCAGCAGAGATTACAGAAAAACCAAAGCAGACAATTACTTTCCTTCATTGCAGGCTTGTTTCTGTCACATTAGGAAAAAAACACCAGAAGAATCATTGACCTTGGTAGACCTTGTGCTCTCAAAGTGCCTTTCTGATCACAGTTATGGTTAGAGGTTCATATAAACTCATCCTAGACATGAATTACATGGTAATTCTGGGGTTTTTAATGACTTATTTGAACTGTTCTTTTGCCAGGATGTAATTGGGTGCATAAACAATAACTTTGTGCACAGCTATAATTTATTTTGAAATTTTCTCTAATCCACACATGGTCAAATTATACATACAGTCACTTAAATCTTTTAAGGAGTGAATGCTGAAGCTTCTACAATGTGTTGTAGCTTGACAAGGCCATGGCTTATTAATTTCTCGTTAGTAATCACTAATCACAGTTGACTACAACTTTACCTTTGTCAGAATAAGAAGGATTTGTTCAACAAAACTCAGAACAATGGGAAAGTCCAAAGAACTCAATGAAAATCTAAAGCAGATAATTTCAGATTTACACCTCATGCCCATGTGATGAGTGTACGTAAAATTCTAATCACAATTTATATATCTAGCATATATGAACAAAATTTTTTTAAATATGAATGAGGGGGGGGGGGGGGGGG